CCTCAACTTTTTTCGCTAGTTTCGACCATGCATTTCGGGGAAGCGAATGCCTCAGGGGGTACTTTAGCTGAGTACAAACGTACATTATGCCCAAGTGACAGGTGTGACGTCAGAGAAACGTTGAGCGTTATCAAGGGTGATAAGAGCCACAACTTTTTTCGCTGGTTTTGACCATGGATTGCAGGGAAGCCAGCTTTTCAGGAGACACCTTAGCTTGGAACAAATCGTACAGTACGCCCACGTGACAAGTTGTGACGTCAGACAAATCTTGATCCTTATCAGGGGTGATAAGTGTCTGAACTTTTTTCGCCGGTTTGGGCCACGCATTGTGGAGAAGCTAAACTCTCAGGGGACACTTTATAGACCCCGACGGCGCAATCGACCCTAGCGCACCTTGTGGTGGGTGAGAGCGACTGGCCAGCGCTTCCTGTTTGGGGTTCACTAGCGCGAATTTCGAATTACTGTCCGCAACCAATGTTTGGCTATGGCGAAATTTAAGGATTTTAGACCACTTTTCTCTGCCCAAATGACAAGCCTATTGTTTGTAATTTTAATTGAGGGGTTCCCTATTTTGTATAGCTTAATTTGGTCGTGCGAATTGAGGTTATGGTGCAATTTTCATTTCAACTAAATTATAAGAGTAGGAGATGCAGGTAATAATAATTCACTACGGCTTTATTAATCGCACTTGATTATGTTTGTTTTTATTTTGGAGCACGCTGTGAATCTGTATATAAGTCAAAAAGACAGGAGACAGAGTATCTGCATTGCTTGTATTTCAAGACAAGGTAGAGGCTGATCACATGAAAAGCACAAAATGAGAAGAGCATCACACATAAATTCTTTGCTATGTTGCATAGGTTGCACAATTTTTCACGTCTTGCCACCGCATACAGCTACAAACTTATTATTTTTTTGCGAACTTGGCCATCGTCAGAAGCTTTACGAAATGGTTACAAATGCGTGAATGAGACACCACGTAAGAAACATGCAAACATTCCCCACACGAAGCGCAACGTATGTGGGCGTGTTTCTTCATATTCGCCCAGTTGTTACCTTTTTCTTAACCAATGACCAAACTATCCTAACAACATGCCAGTCAAAAAGCTTCACTTGAAAACCTGCCTCACCGACTGTCTCACAAACTAAAACACCGAAGCAGCCGACGTAGACTAATCCTTCCCGTTGTCATGCCTGGGCTTGACGCATGTTGCTGTGGCGGGTACTTGAATCGGCGCGAATAATAGGCGCTGTTTATAGCAGAGTGGCTTAACAAAAATAGCCGCGTAAGGCGTGCTGAATGAATTGTTTTTGTGTATAAAGAACATACAAAATATGGGCGTACTAGGATTATTTTGTAAAAAAAAAAACATTCCGTTGTATTGATGACAACTGCATGGTCGGATTTATATGGCTGTACCCTTTAGATCAGGCGGTGGCTAACGCCACCAAGCCGATCTAAACTTGCCGCAAGTGCAAACAATTTTTTTGCACTTGCGCCTTCTAGCGCTTGGCGAGAGCACTAGCTTGTTACGTAGCCGTGACGTACTTCCCGAGGCCAGATTTCGCTGAGTGTCCGCTTTTAACTTTTTCTTTTTCTATGGCATTATCGTTATCCGTGACGTAGGTTCCAGAATATTAGGTTCCAGTAGGTTCTGCAGAATCGGCTAGGGCAAAAGCATTGGTGATTCCTTAATTTCGTCGATGAAGGCGACCATTGTACATTTGTTCACGTGTTTGTACTCGCTGCTGAAATTCGTGAGCTGTTGCTTTTCGTCCCCACAGCTCGGTGATTCCTCTGTCGACGCACATATCGCAGCTCACCAAAAGGTGCTGATTGCCTTCAACGACGCTTTCCAATTCTGGTTTTAGAGGGCCGACGGAAATGATGATGCTTGATCGAAGAGGGATGGTGACTTGTTCTTCCAACATATTCAGGGCGTGTCTTCCTGATGGTGTGCGTGACAGTAGGGATTTTTCTGTGGATAGCGTTATCGACTTTATTCTCAGGTCGATGACCGCACCATGGAGGCTGAAGAAGTCCATACCAAGAATGACATTGCTCGAGTAATGATGTAGTAAGACGACGCTTGTTGATTAAATGCGGCTGTTAATGGTCACTCTGGCTGCGCAGATTCCTGCCTGTGTTATAGGTTCCTCCAACTGTATGGATTTCAGCGCCTTCCCACGCGGTCCTAACTTTCTTCAACTTCGCGGCGAACGTTCCACTGATGACGGAATAGTCAGCTCTTGTGTCGGCGAAAGCTGTGGCCCTCTGGCCGTCGATGAGAGCGCCGAGGTCGCTGGTTCGCAGCGTGGCGTTGCGGTTGGGTCACGGCGTCGGATGACGGCCACGACGGTTTGCACCACTGTTTTGACGTTGCGTCATCAGGTGTTCTTCTGGCCGCGAAGTTTCCACGTCGGGACTACTTTGAGGTTGCGATGGGTTCTTGAAGTTGCGTCGCATCGTCGTCGGAGGAGGATCTTCAGTTGTTCGTCGTACAGCGACCGCACCTTCATCTGTTGGTGCCCTTACTTTTGCGAATATGGGCTAGGCGACCAACCCCGGGTTGGGCTATTCTTCGACAGGCGGTGAGGCAACATGTAGAGACCGGGTGAAGGTGAACGCGAAAATTCTCGGGACATCCACTGTGTTGCTGTGAGGTAATCGGTGATGTCACGCGGTCTTTCATCTCGTTGTGGACGCGCTGTATCGATGGCCAAACCACGCAGTCTTATTTGGCGGTACTGGCAGCGGCGGTAGGTGTGGCCAGCTTCTCCGCAGTGGTAGCAGAGAGGTCGGTGGTCGAGGGCGCGCCACACGTCGGTTTTTCTCGGAGCGTTGCACTGCCTGGCGGGTAGATGGTATGGCGTCGGCGGTGGTGGTTCCGGCAGCGAAAGTGCGGCGGCGTGGCCTCTTGGCATGGACGTTGGGCGGAGTGTAGCATCGGGCAGCAGCAGCGTCGCTCATGCCTTGGGGTGGCGGTTGCGATGTCTCAGGAATACCGACAGATTGCTGGGTTTCCTCTCCGACGATGCTTGTGATTGACGAAGCTTGAGGCTGGTACGACGGGAACATTCGGCGAAGTTCTTCGGGCTCCACAGCCCTGATAGTCTCATGCAGACCATCGGAGCATAGTGGTTGTATATCTGCAGATATCTTGGATTCGAGTAGCAGTTCAATTGTCATGTGCGCATTTCCTTGGTCGTTTCAATAGTTCTCTCTTCTGACACATATTCTCGACGCTGTTCTGTGGATTCCGCATCAGTCCCGCGAAAAATTCCTTGTCGAGCTTTCTTTCGAGGTCGGCGTGACGGAAGATTAGCGCCATTTCTTCCCCAAGGATAGTCACATTTTCATTCGGGAGTTGCACCCTTGTCTCCAGCAACGTCGTGGATCTTTCCTCGCGTGCGATGCTTCTGAACGTGTCCAGGAATGTGCCGCGGAAGAGATTTCAGGTCTGAAGGACGTCTCCCGATTCTCGAACCAGGTCCTTGCCGCGTCTTCCAGATAAAATAAGACGCGACGGAGCTTCTCTTCCGCGTCTCAGCGGTTGAGGGCGGCCACGTGGTCGTAGGTCTTCGGCAAGGTCTATGGGTCTTCAAATGATGACTCACAGAAATTCAGTGGCTCCCTTGGCTGCAGCATCACGATCGCACAGTGGTTGTCACCGTTGCCGCAGTCGAGGTCATCGCCCTGGTCTTCCAAGCCTTGTCTTGTAGAGGCCCCTACTCCGGTGCTGAACCTTGATGCCTGCGGCTTGTTCGCTGCTCGTGGCTGGCGTTGGTTTCTTCTCCGCGACGTGGGCTTGGTTAACGGCTTGGCGGGGGCACCCGGTAAACGAAAGAAGCAGCACCTCCACTAGATGCCATGGGGTCATGACGTGAATTAAGGATGACGAGAATGAAGGAAGCAGACTGTACTTACAAGATGAAACTGTTTATTCGGATGAACTTGTGGCCCGTAAACTGAAAGTCAGATTACAGCGATGCTCACTGACACTGACAGCGGCGAACAGAGTGCCAGCCGCCGATCAAATGGCAAGTGGTGAGGCACGTCGGCCTTTATACACGTGTCATCGAATATTGTAGCGTTGTTGTTAGCGGCCACGTAGGTTCCAGAACAATCTGCAATGTTCGCGAAGTGGGCGTAGTCTTAACAAAGTGATCTACTGCAGTCCTGAAGCTTCTCAAACACTGCAGGTGCGGTTCGCGCTAACAATCACTGGCAGTAAAACGGGACTATAACAAATCTAGAAGACGGAATGGGTTAATAGGAACCTTGTGAATGCCTCCTACAGACGAAGGAAAAAAGTAGTTTCATCGCACCACTGGGTTTCGCACCTAAGCTCTCATGCTCTGAAGGCAAGTGCCTTAACCACTAGCTAAGCACCTACATTTTTTGTTTATTACTAGGCTGTGGAATCAAACTGCATACCTACGATACTGGCAACACAGCACGCATAGCACGGAGTTTACATCGTGTCTGGGCAGTCAACTATCATTGTGCTGGTTTTGTCAGGCTGTATTTCCCGCATGTTCACCAGCGGCTCTGTCTGGATAACCATTCTGGTGCTTCCGGTGCGCTTTATAAATATCAAGAAACCAGTGGATGCTGTCTCTGAAATAGGCTCGTTCAGACCATGCGTCCTTTTCAATGTGTCAACCTGTCATTCTCGTTCTCAATATGCAGTGGAAACCCATCAGCGTAACTGCATCTACGTTTAGAAACCTAATGCCACGCTGGTAGTGTCGGAACTCTTTTCTTCACTGTTTTCTGCAGAACATCCCAAAAATAAACGCTCTCCCAACAATGTAAACGTCACCACTTTGCTCCAAAAAGCTTTAACAGGCAGTGTCCAGCTGTGGAGCTTAAAAGAAAACGTTTTGATCCCGGCGTCACAAGCATCTTTTCTTGCCCTCTTTCAAATGTCGCTATCTGGGCCTTCAGTATACAAAGACCACCACATTGGGACTGGAGAAACAATGCTACATAAGGCAAAATAAAGTTCTTTTTATCTAACAACAGCTAGGCGCACTCGTGAAAAACGTACATCAATAAATCTTACACTGGACAGACTTCCTTATAAACGTCGCACACATCTCCCTGCAGAAGGAACCCTGAATGTGTGTGAAGCAGCCATGGGTACACTTAAAATTCAGTGAAGAGGTGCTTTTTATTCATCAACCTATAGACGCTCATGGTTGTGCCACCTGCGGGGTACCCGTCGTCTGGCCACTGGACGAAACGGAAACGCCACCTAAAAACTGACAGAAACATTTATTAGTAACAAGAAATGTTAAACTGTAACTCTCATGGGATAAACATAGTTTAAACCGGCCATTACACACGCCGGGTAGTTTGGGTAGTTCTAACGGGTAGGACTGAATAGTTCAAACGAAATACTTTTATTTTGTTAGCGTATGGCTTTTAATTAATTAGGAGGCTCAAGGGGAAAATAAATATTAAGAACTGACAAATAGAATTTACAGATATAAAAAATGAAGCAGACAACTTCAGCAACAACAAAAAAGAAATTAATAAAGAAAACAATTTGGAAAAAGTACTGTAAAAGTAATAGTTTGTTATACAGTATAAATATCTGTGAACCTTTGATAAACTCCTCCAATACATAGGCAACTTTCCCGTCTCTGAATGCTAGGAAGACAGCCCCCCCCCCCCCCTCCAAAAGTGCATTTGGAGTGTTTAACTCCAATCTTATGACACGGAAGGTGGCAGATAATGTACTTTTGCGCAATGCGGCATATCTTTCACAAGATGTTAGACAATGGTCTGTTGTCTCAGAGACTTCACAAAACCAACAATCAGGGGAAGCAGCCTGAGCAGCTCTGTGTAAATAAAAATTGAGATAAGGAGTTTGACACCACAGCCTAGTGATTGCAACTTCAACTGCACGCGCGCGACGTACTTTGCTATTTCAACGAAGAATTAGGTGTTGGAATTCCACTGTTTTCATTATGAACGACAAAAAAAATTGAAATCACTTTTCTCCTAAATCTAGCTCCTATAATGAATTTAGATGCTGATAATAGGTGAGTAACCAGATCATTTATTGAGGAATTCACTACGGCATCCATCGTTTCATCGAGAAAAAGTCTCTTATGTACATGTATCCAAACCAATTTAACCAAATATATCTGTGGTGGAACTAACGATTTGAAAGAACTCAGCACTTGCGAGATCTCATTTGCAGTGATAGAAGAACACACCGACAGCGAATCAGTTAAAACTATGGCCGAACTAGTTGACGCTGGTAATTGGCGGAGAGCTGAAATTATCACCAAAAATTCTGCTACAGAAATGAGTACAAAATCTGGAAGTCGTAGAGAAAATGAACAATGTAGAAAAGGAGCGAAGGTCCTAATTTAAAATTTTTCTTAATTCCGCGAAGTACTCGTCGCAATTACTGTCTTCGTTGGTAAATGAACCAGATAAACGCTCAGCATAGATTTTAAAAGGGCGCGCGGCATTAGTTTTGATTGTTTTGGAAAAATTTCGCCAAACTGTATTTTGATAGAGTTGTCTGGAACGTGCACTTACTCTTAATCGTCATCAGCCACATCCCAAGCTAAACATCATGCCTTACACATGTGCAGCGGTTACTTGCTTTTCATCGTAGTCAGCGTCATCGTCATCGAGGGTCGACGGCAAACATGGCTCGACCCTAATATTCTTCACCCCTGAAAAAGAAAGAAGAAAGAGAGAAAGAAAACCAAGGCAGTTTTGCAATTGGTGCGCCCAGCCTGTAGAAAGTAAGGGCCTGGGCAGCCTTCTTTTTTTCTCTATTCTTTTTATTTCTTCATTTCTCGTCATCGTCATCATCATCGTCATAGTCATCATCATCATCATCATAATCATCATCATCGCATAGCAGGTGGCTTCCGCATTTTCTCTTTCAAACCTCAGAACTTGTAAGCTTCAATAGTTAGGCGTGTCATTTAGGTAGTTCTTTTTGCAATTTTTCGCGAAACAACATGCCTCACTACGGTAGCTCACCATCTCTGAGGTTTAAAAGACAAAATGCGTGAGCCAGGCGCCCTCTGGCTTTCCGACAAGGAAATGACGCGTCTGAGTGTATACGACACGTGTTTATTGAGATGTGCCTGTTGTTGATATTGCTACAGACAACGTTATCGATTATATGTATACGAAATATGCCTCTTCCATACATGTTTTTACTGACGGGTCCGTGTTACGGTATTTACTTGAAAATTGGCCGGGGAGGTCGACCTCTACCTATATAGTGTTCTACGAGACAGAGAAAAAAAATGAATATAGGTCGACCAATGTTTTTAAAGACTATAGTATTTCTTGGGGACCTTCGACACAAGAATTTTGGTCTGTCTGTCTATACATTTGTCTGTTTGTCCACTCTCAACGGCACCGGGTACCTGAAACGGCCGACCCCATCCGCAGCACCCACCAATGTTGCTCAAGATTCAGCGTTCATACTTGTGCAATTGTCAATTAAAAGCATTTATTGCGCATGTCTGGGACACCATAACAATATGTATATATGCACGTGCGTCTTTTACTAGAAAAGGCATACATAAGTAATGTTAAGGACCATAGCGTTTATCACGCTGCGCTGACTACGCAACGCTTGCACGAAAAGGCGAGTGTTTCCGACGCTTTGCTAAGACGACACTGTGGTAGCACCTACCCGTCGCCTTGCGTTCTACACCTTTCCACTTCTGAGACGGGCGCGCACACCCGTCTCAGAGCCACGTGCTTCGTTTTCCAGGAAAACTGCCAGATGGCGTTCATGTCTCACGTGTGACGTGACTAATGCGCTCGTTCGCCTTCGCTTCACGCTCGAGGCACTCTAACGCAGCGTCTCCAGAATACCATTTACCACTTTTCTTGCGCAGAACATCAAATAAATGTTTTTCTCACTCTCTCCATACGCAAGACTATCGTCTTTCGACGGCATTTGCAGAATAACATGCAAAAACGGGGCCACGTTTTTTAGTTTAGAAAAAAAGAAATAAAACGTAGCAGACCTTTATTTAACTAACTCAGCGCCCTAATCACTGCCAATGGCCGTCATATTGTCAGATGTGCAAGATGGTGTCGTTATCGGACTCTTCGCAAGCATCCGCGACTTCCGAAAGGACGCCGTCTTTTCTGCCACCGCTGCTGATTGCTGGGCCGTGCAAGGCACGACGCCGCGCACGCAAACAGACGGTCCCGCTGCTTTCGCCAACCCCCAATCAGCGATCAGCGTCTAATTTACACAGTACTCACACTGCACAGCACAATTTCTCGAGTCCCCGGTAAAAAGTATCACTTGGCACTTGAAGTCACCTGTGCAGCTCTGCTGAGGTGACATCGTCGCAACCGCGCACAACGAATTGGTGATGGTGGTTAGGAAAAGGCGGCACCTAATTTCTGCAGCCCGATGGGAGCACGGCGCAGCGCCTAAAGCGAATGCGAACCGTCACCCGTGACGCCGATCGTAGAATCATAGAGTACCATAAAAATGATAATAGTGGTCACTAGGGCTAAAAAAACTGGCTGAACTATATACGCAGCTTGACCCCAGCCCTAAGATGTCAACACATCACTTACTGCTTCATGGAAACACGCGTACTAGTCATTTACTATAAAGTACCTTTTCTGGTACATTGTACGTCTACGTGTTTCTCGGTATGTGATAATGGCCTGAATCCTTCTTCATTGTCTGCGATTGCACGGTGCGATAACATCGGGCTGGGATCAGGCATGAATCGGACGCGAGAGAAGTGTGCATGGCATCGACGCGACAGTATCGTTGTCACGCTCCGTGTTCATGAGCATTTACGGCAATGAAGAAGTACGGGCAGCAGCAGGTAGATGCCATAAAAGATGTGCGATAACGTGCCCGGCGTGCGTCGTGATCTTCGCTTGTTTCGTCTGCCTCTCAGGTTGGCTGCTGCTAGGTACGAACGCCGTCAATACTATGTTTAGTGCGTATTGGATTTGTCATTGAAGCCTTAACCTAACGTTTTTGGCAATGGGCCGTTCGGCGCAGAGATCTTTTTTTTTTGTGCTCTGCACTTCGCGTATACTGTTTTCGTGCATTGATTTACATGAAAGAAAACTATCTGGAATGTTTCGCAGCACGTTTGCGAGAAAATTCTTTCTTGGCTCAAGAAATTGAGTCGCTGCTCACATTGTTAGGTTTTCGTTAAGCCACTATGCATTCGAATTCACTACATGAGTGATATTTTGAGAAAAGTGCAGCTATGCTCAGTATTGTTATCTGTGCCGTTCGCAAATTGCTTAATGCTCGAACGAGCGCAATATGAGAAGTGGTGAATCTATAAAATACGTTTGCTACCTAAAGCGAGGACGTAATCTTTGAGTAAACACTCCTGCCTCGTTAACGGCTTGAATGACACCTCGAATTGGTTTGTTTTTGTTGCGGCAACTGCTTGCGGCTGTTTTTCGCGAAAGAGCGATGTAAAGTGTCTAGGAGAAAATTAGCGCGAAGGTGGGAACGAAAACATAGCCAACATTTTTCTTTTCTTTTTTCAGTTCATGCCGTAGTCGAGTGCTGCGGCAACTACTGCCGTGTGCCGTTGTGCACAGTATGTGTAGTTGTGTGCGTTTATTGCAGTTTCATTCTGCTGGGGTTCTTGTTGTATTGTTGCCTATATGTTTATTTCTTGTGTGCAATTTATATTCATAATATGGCAGCTGTATTTTCGCGTCTCGCAGGGAAATAAAGCTCTCTTTGTGCCTGCATTTATCAAACATCAACAAAGTGGGCATGTGCTTACCAAGGACATTACTTGAAAGTAAAAGTTTTCGCTCCTGCAATGATTATCGTGTTTTAATTAAATTGTGTGCATAGACACACATTAACATTGTGTGCTTGCGGTGCAGCATACACGAAGGCCACCGATGCATTCAAACGACGCGTTGAAAAAAAAAATAAAGTATGGTCTCAGAGATAAGCACTCACGTAGAACTGGTCTCGGAAGCTGTACAATAATCCTTGTCACTAAAAAAAAAAAGGCCTTCGAGACCGTCTTTTCTGCGGTCTGCCATCTCTGAGGCTGCAAAGTTTCACCACACCCGTTTGGTGCACTGCGAACCCAAATCAGCCGCAGGGACCCAAGGAAGTGTCCTGTCTTGACCTTTTATGTTACTCTATGGTATATGAACAAAGTGCGAGGTGGCGACGGCGAGGCCTCAGGCCAGTGCCACTGCAACTGCGCGCCCCAAGACAGTACCAGAAGCACGGCAAGTGGGCTTGGAACTTCAGGGCTAATACCTAGGGAAATCATGGGTTTCATCGCAAACACGGTGGAGTGGTTGCGTTTCGCCGGGGTGGTACGCGGCTATTGCATAGATAACCTTTTTTTTCAATTACTTAGGCAGTCGAAAAGGAGGAGGGGGGTTTTTATTTCAGATTTTATGGCACATAACATGCGTATGCAGCAGGAGCCGCGTGAAGAACAGCGGGCGCGGCAGTTGAATGCTATAGGCTCGGCGCTCTTGGTTGGTTTGATCGTGAATATAGGTCGAGATTCTGATGTCACGAATATAGGTCGATAGCTGGTTATGAACGACATCTCCGGAAAAACAAGGTCGACCTATATTCGAATAAATACGGTGCCCACTGTTTCAACTGCGGCGTTCGTCATAACAGTGAACGCTTCCGTCTAGACCATCGAACAACATCAATGGTTGCAAAGATTGTGGCCATCCGCGAGGTACTTCGTTATATATCTAGAATGAGACCAAGAATGAGACACATGAAGAATTGGAAAAGAAATTTAATAAGGACATTGTAGAAGAAAAACTGGGACTTAAAGCGGTCAGCATTGAGCGAATTCATAGGTTAGGCCACAGTATGGAAAATAAAAATCGTCCAATTGTATTAAAGTGTCTGGATTATAAAGAAAAGCTGTCAATTTTAAAAGCTTCGCATACACTTAAAGGCACTTTATTGTCTATTGCGGAAGATTTTTCGCATCATGTCCGTGAGCAGCGAAGGATGCTTTGGAAAACTGCTCAAGACGAAAAGGAAAAAGGGGCTAAGGTAAAGCTTATCTATGATAAGCTAAGTGTAAACGGCGTTATGTACGGTTGGGACAGTGACAAGAAATGCCGCTTTCAGTTGAAAAGTGATAGGCGGGTTTGACAAAGGCAAAATGATGATCGATTCTTGAAACTTCTTAACATCAATTGTAGGAGCGTAGTCAATAAAAGCACAGAGCTTGAGGGGCTAATTATTGCTAACGATCCTGATATTGTTATACTGACTGAGACGTGGCTCAGTGATGAAATATACGATAGTGAATTCGTTCCATCAGGATACCGAGTTTACAGGAAAGACCGTGGTAGTAGGGGTGGTGGAGTTTGTATAATCTACAAAAGTGCGCTTAACGTATTCTTGATGCCTGAAGTTGCCTACATTGAGTGTTTATTCTGCAAAGCCTATAGTGGCGGCCTTAGGTATATTGTTGGTGCCATGTACAGACCCCCTAACTCTGATGCTTCTACCATGGATGTGTTGAAGGAGTATTTATGTGACCATGTCAAACCTGATGATCGGATAATCCTATCTGGTGATTTCAATTTGCCTGATGTTGACTGGCTAACAATGTCCCCCAAAATTCGTAATGACAAGGTAGGAGAGGCAATGCTTGATATTGCTTTTGCCTTTGACCTTACTCAAGTTGTTGAA